GGCACATTTGGTGCTGTTTGTTTTTCTTTTTTTTCTTTCTTTTCTACATCCTATTGGATTGTGTTATGTTTTTTTATTTTATTTTTGGGACAATTCTTTGATTGTTGATTCGATACCATAAGCTTTATTGGTGTGCGTGGAACTGCATGTTTCACTTCTCATTATCTGGTAATACCTTAATTAATCTGTATTGTAGATTGAATATTTGGAATAATTTTTTTTTCAGTGGTTAAAAAACAAACATTATAGACGTGAGAATAGTCCTAAACACCTAACTAATCATCATTTCTTTACAGTAATTCTTGATTCTCAACTAATAGATACCCTTTACCCTCCATTAAATGGCCATCATTATTTTCCTTTTTGGTTTGATGAGATCTATACTAAATCATTATCTTTATATGTCACGTACCAAAACTTGTTATGTCATTAGACTCTTTTTAAGTTTATGATTACATGATCTTTTTTGTTTGCTAAATTGCTAATGCATGATTAAGTGATCGATCACGCATCACGCATGTGTGCTTTTCAGTATTTAACAATGAAGAAGGAAAAAAAACTAAAATCGAGAGAGAATGTTACCAAAAAAGAGAGAGAGACCAGATAAACTAAATTTTCGTGTTTCGGTACTTAATTCATACGATTTTCTTTTGAACAGCATTTTATCCATATAATCATATCTAAGGTTTTCATCCCATATACTCATATTTAAGGTTTTCATTCCATATAATCATATTTAAGATTTTCAGTAAAATTTGGATATCCGTAATTCCTGAATTTGGAACCATTTTGTTATCCGATTGAGAAGTCTTATTTGATAAATTTTGATTAGGATCTATCTGTATCTCTGTCAGACTGCCGACTATAATTGTATGAAATGCATGAAAAAAAGATTAAAAAAGGAAAAGCCAATATTAAAGACCTCAAATCTCTTTAAAAATATATATAAAGAATAAAACCCTTTTCGCAAAAAAAAAAAAAAATATATATATATATATAAATAAAGACCTCAATATATTATATCTTTTTGGTGATAGCTTGAGAAATAAGATAAGTATATTTTAATCTCCCTTTCAACATGTGATCGTATGAGAGAGACTTTTTTAAAAAAAAAAAAAAAAATGGGGGTATGAGAGAGACTTTTTTTTTTTAAAGGATTAAAAAAAAAAAAAAGTATGAGAGAGACTTTTTCGCTTTGTAAGCTCGTGTGATCCATCAAGTCATCAACGTACTAATGGGGGTTACTAATGTATATATATTTTGTATATATTTTTCACATTACTCAAATAGGTGATAATTGTATATATATAGTATACGTATATTCCAAAAATACGCCCACCATAGAGTAAAGATTTCTAGTGTCTATTCTAGTGTCTTCGCTGGTCACATGAAAGTCAGTTTCTTTTATTTTCTTTTTGATGCTTTGGCAGTTTTTGTTTTCAGAATGTACAACCTTTATCATAGCGCCTTGGCATCTTGGAAAACTAAAGATGTGCAAATCTCATCATATGAAAATAAAAGAAGAAACGTGGGCACTTTTCACTTTGGTCTAATAATTTGATAAACGAAAAAGACACAAGGAGAGACGGTTAAAAAAGAAAAGAAAACACATCAAATAAATTGATACGAATAATTCCATCAAGAATATCATGTAAAACTGTTGCTGATGTAGAAAATATTTGTATCGATAGTATAAAACATAAACTGTTAACCCTTTCGCACATAGATCATATATAGCTATTTCACCATTTATTAGTATTCTCTGTCAACGTTTTATGTCATTAATTAGTACCACGGATATTAAATTATATATTTTTTCTTCATCGTAACACTTACAAGTTTACTAGATGGGATGGGAGTATTTTTATTTTATAAATCGATTATAGTTCATCTTCCTTTCCAGCCGTCTTTTATCAATCTGGTTTTATATTATAAATGGGAAGATCAAACTTACAAAACCTTACCCACAAGGAACCTAGCTATCACTGACCCATTAGGCTAATATCAAAGAGAGGGCCTTGAAGCCATATCGGATTGATTCCGGTCTTGGACAGTTGGCCTGTCACACTTAGAGCGATGAGATGAACTCCTCTATTTGCTTTGTGTTCTATGATAGCTAAATATCAGAACCTTTATACGAAGATGGTCATGATGTTGTTGGCCTGTTCATTGCAATAACTGAATCTGAGAGCATGTGCAATGGAGAGACCTTCATGGGTCTCTCAATCTGTTTTTTTATTAAAGTTGATGCTTCTATGCAAATATCACACTTCTTATTTTGTGACTATGCATATTCTCCATTTTCCATACAAGGCTTATAAAGCTTGTATTTGCCATCGATTTCATGTTACGAAAAGCTCGCCGGCTATGTAATGATCTGCTCAAAGTTTAATCCCTAAGCTACTCCGCAAGAGCACAGATGTGCAGTTGTAGTATGTAGGGGTCGAACCACAGAGATAAGAGATCACTCAATAAACCTTATAGAGATCGAATTACGCTAAGCAGAAATATTGTAAATAAATAGCAATGCAACCGAATTAGACTAAGCAGCAATAAAAACGGTTTGTAAGATTCAGATGGATGGAGATTAGGCTTAGGGCGTTTCTCAGGAGATCAATGAATGCTGAACAATCGATTAATCAGGGTTCAGGGTTAAGCACGATTCTTGAATTCGAATCACAGAATTATAATTAACCAACTTCCGTTGTGAGAATTATCTAAGTTAAAATCCTAGAATTCCAAATTCCTTTGCAAACCCTAAAGATTTAAACCAGCTTTAATGCACAAGTTCGATATGTTCACAAAGTATCTAAACCAAATTTTTTTGCGAATAGCTACTTTGCTCACCCTAGGTTCTTTCCAGTTATTCAATTACACTTCCGTGTCAATCAATTAACCTAAGATCTAAGTTCTAGGTGGCCAGTCCAGAATTAGCTTTAAGAACAACCTATGGTGAAGAACTAAATAGATTATGAACCCTAACTAAATCAATTAATTAAACATCCAGAGAAAACCTTTATGAGAACCCTAAACCTAACAAACAAAATACTCAGACATGAAGATTGAAGCAATAAACATGAATGAATAGATTGCAGAAAACAGTAAATAGATTAATAAACAGGGGTTCGAAATCTTCTCTCTCCGGAACAGAGTTTCAGACTTGTCTCCCCAAAAGCTCTCAAAAACAAAATTTCTCTCTCAGGAAATCTAAGGTGATCGTAAAAAGGGAATAAAAATCCTATATATATCTCTAAGACACGTCTTGGGCTTCCTTGAAATCGTTTAGGCCCAACTCCTTCTTCAAATAGGAAACAAAATCGCCTTTTCCTTATTTCTCTGACAAGTGTCGAGCGTCACTCTCCATGGTGTCGAGCGTCACTAAAGCACAAAATCCATTCTTGACGAATTTGATCCTGATTAAGCTCCAAAGTGCTCCAAAGTCTCCAGTTAAGCTCCAAACGTACCTATGACCTAAAAAGACTCCAAAAGACTCGAAAGACACTAAAAAGACTCTATAAATAAGACCTATACCATGGTTAAAAACCATAAAAACCATGATATATCAACTCCCCCAGACTTAGCATTTGCTTGCCCTCAAGAAAACAGAACACCAAATAAGAGAAAGAGGTTTGAAAACACAGAGACTCAACCTTTTATTGGAACATCGCTTTTGACCAATTACCCTGCAACTCAACTACTGCTTCATCATTCCAAATCGAACCACCATGTACTTCTCCGCAGACATTCACAGCTTTCCAGATTAAGTCCAAAATTTCACAACATTGTCCATAAACCCTCATCGCTGGATCTCACTGATGATTCCAATGCCAAGAACCTTCTAGACTCTTTCCCATTCTGTACTCAAACAAATCAGCCATACAAACTTTGGTACTTTTTCTCTCCCCCAGACTTATTCTTTTCGCATATTCATCATCTTTTTCTTTTCTTCTTTTTATGGCATATACTCGATAAGGGTAAAGCTGCGAGTACTGATGGTGTTTGCCATCAAGTCCCCGAGTTGTCCCCTTACCTTGTATCAAAGGTTTTCAGCGAATAATGGGGTCATGGGAAACATTCCTACCCCTCACTTCCTTCCTTTGTGTGATCATTCCAACTTAGAAGTAAAATAATGGGATCATTGGAAACATTCCTAGCCCTTCACTCCTAAGCGAAAATCATCTCAATCTTTTTGCCCTTTTTTATTTCTTTCTTCTTTTTCTTAGCTCGTCACAGGGAGAGAAACACCAACATTAAATACCACACAGGCTCTCATTGATCAAGTACGAACAAGGAATCAAGCTCTAAGGCATAAGTCACATCAACGAGTTAAAAGTGAAGTTCAGAACTTAGCTCAGGTTAGTGGATTCTGTTGGAAACTTGGACGCCTCTAGTCAGCTGGTCAGCCTTTGGATTTTTCATTAGTCGGATCTAGACTGAATCTGCAGCAGTGGTCACTTAGGTGAAAGGTCAGCACAATAATTCCAGGAAAAGCATCATGATCTCCAACAGGTTTTGACTCAAAAACGTTTTGACACAACTGACTCTAAGAAAAACAAACACAATGTCAGCAACTACCTCCCCCAGACTTGAATAACACTGTCCCCAGTGTAATCAAATCCGAAGTTGGTGACAAAAGAGAAGAAACAGAACACAGGAAAAACGGAGAACTTACCTGGCTGCAATGATGGTGTCGCGCGACACTGATGATGGTGTCGTGCGACACTTGTTCTCCTCGTACCAAATTGCAGCAGATCCATCCGAATTTCTGGTTTGACTCCGGTTACCTGATTTCCTAATTTTTTTTTTTTTTTTTTTTGCAGAAAAGCAAGTGACAAGCGACACCGATTGTGGTGTCGCTCGACACCAGGCTCTGCTTCACCTAAAAACACGAAAACGAAAAACGAAAATCAGCTGAAACAAAAAGACATATGTACAGACTTACCAGTGGATTGCCTTCCACCAAGCGCTTGTTTTAAGTCATTAGCTTGACTATGGATAGACTATGCATCTGGTGGATCAGACAGTGGCAAAGAGTGCCTCTGTGAAATTCGTCTCATCCATGGTGGTGTGTAAGCGTTGTGCGCATGAGGTCGTCCAAGGAATGTAGGAATAGCACCAGGGTGAGATCTGTGTTTGGATGGCCTTGACCTATTCCCTGCAATATCATCAATTGAAGAACCAAGAGCTCTTTGCTTTGCTGGAGATGAATTGAGTGAGATGTTTGGAGCTTCCTGATCAACAACAGTCACTGCATCTGTAGACGTTTTTGTGAACTCAGGTTGATCTCTCACCTTCTCAGCATCAAACACGTTCTGATCTCCAACTATCACTTCAGGTATTGCACTGACTTGGAATGTCTGACCATCTATGGTGGGATCCTTTAGCTTCTCCATCTTGAAAGTCATGATGGTATCTCCCAGGTGGAGATCAAGGGTACCGTGCATGACATCAATTACTGCTCCAGCTGTAGCTAAAAACGATCTTCCCAGGATAAGAGGATCTTTGGGTTCTTCTCCATATTCTAGAACCACGAAATCTGTAGGAATTATGCAATCACCAACTTTAATCGGAACATCCTCCAAGACACCTTTTGGGATTCTTTTAGACCGATCTGCTAGGATTAGAGAGATCTTAGTTGGCTTGAAGTCAGTCATCCCAAGGCTAACAGCTACAGAGTATGGCATTAGGTTGACACTCGAACCAAGATCACACAGCGATCTCTTGAATCTCTCAGAGAAGATAGAGCAGTCCAAAACAAAGCTTCCTGGCTCTGAGAGTTTCTCTGGAATCTTATTCTGAATCACAGCACTGACCTGTTCAGAGATCATCATCACTCCTTCCTCATGACTCACATTATTAGTCATCATCTTCTTCACATAGTGTCTGAGAGTAGGAGCAATCTTCACAGCATCAACCAAAGGAATCTCAATCACAAGTTTCTCCATCAAAGCCTTGCATCTGGCATCATCTATCTCCTGCTTGGACTTCCTAGGACTCCTTGGGTAAGGAACCTTAGGTTTGTAGACTCTTTCTTCAGCAGATTTCGGACTTTGAGCAATATCAGCTTTGCTCTGCAATTGGTGACGCGCGACACTGGTTGTGGTGTCGTTCGACACCGGCTCTGCAACTTCGAAATTTTCTTCAGATTCGTCCAACTCCACGATTTCATCCTCAGAAACACCCTTTTTCAGCACAGGAGTCAACTTTTTACCACTTCTTAACGAGATGGCACTGCAGTAATGCCTAGGATTGGTATCAGTCTTCCCAGGAAGGAATCCTTCTTGCCTTTTTACAGACTCTGCAGTCTGAGCAACCTGAGTATCAAGCTTCTTGACATGAGTGTTCAGAACTTCAATTTTTCCATTCAGATCCAGATACAGAGCATCAATCTTCCCATTGAAATCCACAGTCATCTTCTGCTGACCTTCCAAGATCTGTTCCAGCATAGACTTCACCTCATTATCTGGAGTTTGAGTAGGAGGAGAACCATAGTTCCTTGAAAACCTGTTGTTGGAGTAGGATATCTGGTACTGAGGTTTGGAGCTGTAACCAGAAGAGTTTTGATTACCTGTGAAGGTACTCCTCTGATTATTTCCATTGTAATTTGTGTTCCCTTGCCCAGAACCAAATCTCTGACCCTGAAATCCAGCTCAATTGATGAAGTTAACATCCTCTTCCTCAAAAGCTTCATCTGGTCCGAAATTCTGAACTCCTGCAGTGTATCTGACAGATTTCTTACCCACAAGAAGACTATGCACAGAGTCAAGCTTAGCCTTCACCTCAGCAATCTGCGATCCATCCATGTTTCCACCCTGCTTCTTTCGCTGATAGTCTGCATTCTTGGTACTATTGCTAGATGCCAAGTTCTCAATAAGCACAACAGCATCTTCAGGATATCTGGTGTTGAAATTTCCATTGCTTGCAGCATCAAGAGCCATCTGATATCTCCAATCAACACCTCTGAAGAAAGTACCTAGCAGCTGAACATCACTGAAACCATGATGTGGACAGTCTCTCTGATATGACTTGAATCTCACCCAAGCAGCCTTGAATGCTTCAGCTGGTCCCTGAGAAAACGTTGAAATTTTGAGTCTCAACTCTTCAGACCTGGCATCGTCATAGAAGTTGTGCAGGAAGGCGTTCCTGGTCTCTTCCCAGGTAGTCAGTGATCCTGGCTCCAACTGCTTCAGCCAATTAGCTGCTTCTCCAGCAAGAGAATAAGGAAACAGTTTGCAGAAGAGGTAGTCATTGGACACTCCATTGTATTTGATGCTGGTGACCAAGTCCTCAAACCTCTCGATATGATCCATCGGGTGCTCATGAGAAAGACCATGGAAAGGATGCTGACCCACAAGAGTGTAATACACAGGCTTGAGCTCAAAATCGTTCCTCTGAAACGCAGGAGCGCGAATCGCGGACCGATTTGCATAGAATTGCTCAGGCCTGTTGTAGTCACCCAGCGTCCTGATGATGTTACCCTCTCCATCAAGTCGCTGACCTCTCTCATTACACACATGACCATCTTGGTCTCTCCAGACTCCAGCATCATCACGAACCAATGCCAATCCGTTCTCCATCTTTGCTAATTTCTGAGACAAAGAGAAAGAGCAATGTAAGTAACAAAGTAAAAATAAAATTAAGAAAAACAACGGGTGTCGCGCGACACCAGTGCTGGTGTTGCTCGACACTAAGAAAAACTTAGTTGAAACTCAAGAACTAAGGTTTAATGGCGAAAATCAAGTCCCCGGCAACGGCGCCAAAACTTGATCTGCTCAAAGTTTAATCCCTAAGCTACTCTGCAAGAGCACAGATGTGCAGTTGTAGTATGTAGGGGTCGAACCACAGAGACAAGAAATCACTCAATAAACCTTATAGAGATCGAATTACGCTAAGCAGAAATATTGTAAATAAATAGCAATGCAACAGAATTAGATTAAGCAGCAATAAAAAACGGTTTGTAAGATTCAGATGGATGGAGACTAGGCTTAGGGCGTTTCTCAGGAGATCAATGAATGCTGAACAATCGATTAATCAGGGTTCAGGGTTAAGCACGGTTCTTGAACTCGAATCACAGAATTATAATTAACCAACTTCCGTTATGAGAATTATCTAAGTTAAAATCCTAGAATTCCAAATTCCTTTGCAAACCCTAAAGATTTAAACCAGCTTTAATGCACAAGTTCGATATGTTCACCAAGTATCTAAACCAAATTCCTTTGCGAATAGCTATTTTGCTCACCCTAGGTTCTTTCCAGTTATTCAATTACACTTCCGTGTCAATCAATTAAACTAAGATCTAAGTTCTAGGTGGCCAGTCCAGAATTAGCTTTAAGAACAACCTATGGTGAAGAACTAAATAGATTATGAACCCTAATTAAATCAATTAATTAAACATCCAGAGAAAACCTTTATGAGAACCCTAAACCTAACAAACAAACTACTCAGACATGAAGATTGAAGCAATAAACATGAATGAATAGATTGCAGAAAACAGTAAATAGATTAATAAACAGGGATTCGAAATCTTCTCTCTCCGGAACAGAGTTTCAGACTTGTCTCCCCAAAAGCTCTCAAAAACAAAAGTTCTCTCTCAGGAAATCTAAGGTGATCGTAAAAAGGGAATAAAAATCCTATATATATCTCTAAGACACGTCTTGGGCTTCCTTGAAAACGTTTAGGCCCAACTCCTTCTTCAAATAGGAAACAAAATCGCCTTTTCCTTATTTCTCTGACAAGTGTCGAGTGTCACTCTCCATGGTGTCGAGCGTCACTAAAGCACAAAATCCATTCTTGACGAATTTGATCCTGATTAAGCTCCAAAGTGCTCCAAAGTCTCCAGTTAAGCTCCAAACGTACCTATGACCTAAAAAGACTCCAAAAGACTCGAAAGACACTAAAAAGACTCTATAAATAAGACCTATACCATGGTTAAAAACCATAAAAACCATGATATATCATGTAACAATCTCATGTTGAGTCTCTAAGGATCCAAAATGCACCCCCTAACCTTGTCTTATGACTTTTCCTGGAAATAGGAATCCTCTTTCTCAGATCATTCTTACTTTCCTCCACAGAACATTCATCTACCTTACCTTCCATTATCTGAGATTTAATTTGTATTATATTTGAAATTTATATATTTAATTTCCCCTTATATTCTATATTTATATTTTTGGTAAAACGCATTTTACGTATACCCATTACCCACATACAAAACTGGAATTCTTATACAGTACTAATTAAATTATTAACTCAATACTTGGAGCTTCCTTTAAGTACCTGTTTATGGTTGTACATTACGTAATCGAATCTTACCTACCATGATCCAAACAGTTAATTGTTTTCTTGGAGTAAAAATATCGTTGACAGACATATTATATAATATGTATACATGTTAATTCTATATATATATATATTGGGATGTATATATCGATGGGATTCGGACATAGAACACTCACACCTAACTCAAAAGGTAGTATGAGTATCTTTCTTTCTTTTTGTCCTCTCAGATTATTTAAGTAAATTGTTTTTACAAATAGGTTTTAATTTTATTTTTTTAATTTTTGTAAAACTCTCATAAAATGTGAAAAGGAAGAAGAACGAGAAGAGAAACCCTACAATGGGACAAGATAATCAAGTCAAGAAAGATTCTCCATTATACGAGCAAAATAGTATCCAGTATTCTGCTTCAAGTCAAAGTATGTTTATATTTAATATCTATTTATCGTTTCTAAATTTTTCTAAATTATATTTTTTTTTCAGGTTTTTTGATTTTATAATATTTTTTTGTTTGTAGACGAAAACTATATTGACATAGAGAAGGAGAAGAGTCTTGCGTTGATAAACGCATGGGAAGCGAACGAGAAGGCAAAAGCTCAAACCAAGTAAGATTTACCAAATAAATATATTATATATATATAGTCCATAAAGAGTTATTAACGAGGTAAGAACTTAGAAGCTAGAACCATAAATACACTGTTTTGCATTCAAAATAAATTTTGCATACGTGCGAGATTACAGATTACTGTACTTTTTTTTTTTTTTTTTTTTTACTCGCGAGATTACCAGTTTTTACATTTCATAATACTAATGTAATATCAAGATTTTGTTCTTTCACTATTTATCAATTTAAGCAGGGCTTACAGAGAACTTTGCGCCGTTGAAACATGGGAGAATAACATGAAAACAGCTCTAGAGTTAGATTTAAAAAAAATGGAGGTATATTATTATATATAGAGAATTTTAGCCATTCAATTTTTGTTTCAACATCTTTTAGCTATTCATAAACGTTTATTGTGAAATAAAAACCCTAAGAAAGTTGTGTACTATAATTTTTTTCTTAAACTTGGTAGATTAGCTTATTTCAAAATTTGTTTGATTTCAAAATTTATTTGACAAAAAAGCTTATATCAAAATTCAATAAATCAGACAATATTTGATGTGTTTTAACCCCAAAACATAGTCTCCTGTCTCTCCTCTAATCATAAGTACGACGAATTCTTTAAATATTCGATTATTAATAATTAGACATATATAATCTATGTCAAAATCATCTAGTTTTTACAGCTACATCTACACCGAAATACCAATTTTTTTCTTATCACGATAACTTAAGTTTGTTTTTACATATATTCTTTTTATATCAGGAAAATTTAGAGGTGGAGAGAGCTGAATATTCAAAGAGACTCAAGAAAAAAATACCGGAAATTGAGAAGATAGCAGAAGCGAAAAGAGAAAAAATAGAGAAACAAAAGGGGCAAGAATCTATCAAACTGACAAAAATGAGTGAGAAAATAATTGCAACTCCAGGTGCCTATCCACCTAAACCCAAAATATTTGGATGTTTCTAGACCCATTTGTCATCTTCTCATGGGTCATCATCATTAAGTTAACTAATAAGGGAAATGTATATATTATCCAACGAATAATAGAAATCTATGTGTAAGGTGTGAACTTTCAAGAATCGATGTATCTATCGTTTTACGTGTATATAATATATGACTCATGCAAGAAGTGCATCTGACACCTTGGCGAAAATCTGCGAAGGTTTTTTAGATCACTCGTTGAAGACCAACTTCCAGATCTTTACACGTTCCTCTATACCCTGAAATCTCAAGAACCTTCACTTGACAGGTCCATAAACGAGACAAATTCTCTTCCTTCATCATCTTCTTCCTCTTATTAGGGATGCAACGGCACGCGTCACCACATCTATTTGTAACCTTGTGCGTAAGACCCTGAAAAGCATTAAACCAACCAGATCAATTTGACATGTAAATTGGTCCAAAGAGAGTTCTGTACACAAATTAATACCTTGATGACTATAGTTTGTAAATTTGGAGAGCTCTTGAGCAGAAGTGGCACTATTTGCCAGCCTTTTTGCTTGTCACTCTCAATAGACAGACGAAGGAGGTTGTTGAAGACCGGCATGGATTTACAACACCAGTGAAACACCTTCTTTACATAAAACATATATATAAGCCAAGTGAGTCAGAGACCAATTATAGATTATTGGTTCTCACGGCTATTATGGGGCGGATGTAGTACATTAGTAGGGTCAAGTGTTTTCTACTCTTTTTTATTTTTTCTTAAATGTTTGAGTAAATTTAGTTAAATATATTTAATTTAGTGATAAAATAAAAATTTTGCCCCCAACTTAATTTTTTTCTAGATCCGCCACTGGTCATGATGATCATCAAGAATAATTCTTCCAGGGCATGCAGGACAGTGCTTAATCAATCAGATAAGCCAAGTGAGTTAGAGACCATTAGATTCTTCTCATGGCTACTCGGCAAACAAAAGAAGACCGGTATGAACATGTATTTTGGTTTTGTATTTTAGAAAAAAGCAGTAAACCGGGTTGGAACAGTTTTATTAGCTAGATGGTCCGTGGGAGAGTATCCGGTTTAATAAAATAATCGATTTGGTAGAACCTGGAGCAACCGGTTGATTCGGTCGGTTAACAAATTTGATCCCATAGAGATCGTCTTCTCTGCAAAAGTCGACGTTGCCGTGCTCAGTGCTCACCCATCGATTTCCATTCGTCGGTTTCTCGGAATTGCATCTTCTTCTTCTTCACTCCGCTCTCCTGGCCCGATTTTCAGGTTTTTGTTTCCCCAAGTTTATTTCTCTCGTATAATCACGTTTCTCTCTCACTTCGTTGATTGAGTTCAGTTTGTGATTTCATCGGTTAGGAATATGGGTTTTTATCTTCTTCAATTCGAGCTTTTGGGATATTGGGTTCATGGAATTCGTCTTAGATTGCACATCATGTTTCTCGAAAATATTTAGTCTTTGGATTTAGTCTTCTAATCCAAATGATAATAAATGTTTCCTCATTTTTTTGTTTTGTTTTTTGTTTTTTCCATTGGATCTTCATTGCTTAATCAAGGGGACGATCTATACACCAAAGTCAGCTCTAGGATCAAAGCCTGGTGAATCTAAAAAATTTGATCAGTTTTGTTAGTTTGAAAACTTGAAATTTCGTAGAATTCTCTATGGATACAGATGCATAGAGACATTTGTCGTGAGTCGATTTTCGCTTAAAGATATGCTTTTTTGGGTAACCCAAGTAGAAAGTTTGTGTTTTTTGTTCTTGAAGAGTTTACCACTGATCAAAAATGACTCTTCCTTAGGCCAACAATTCTTTGTTTCTCACTTCATCTATCTCGTAGATACATACCTACCGATGAATAATGTCTGCTCTTTCTCGAACTTCGTGTTGTCGTAGAAGCTTTTTGTGTACATTGTGATCAATCGAAGCTTTTTTTGTTCAGATATTTAGATTTGCTCATCCTCTACCGTAGTCGAAATCAGGGAAGATGGGGGTGTCGCCGAAAATCGCTCCGTCGATGCTGTCTTCTGACTTTGCAAATCTAGCGGCAGAGGCCAAGCGGATGATCGATTTGGGAGCCAACTGGCTTCACATGGACATTATGGTACAACCTTACTTTCTCCTAATTACTTGGTGATTTAAAAAGCTTCAATATGACAAACTTCAAGATTGGTTACTAATCTTCTGAAATCGATAAGTCTTGAGTTAAGTTTCCTAATATGTTATTGAAAACAGACCAGACAAGGTTCAAACTTCATCTGGTGTTGATTTTGACAGCCTTGTGGATATTCTAATCTTGTATCTGCACTTAGTTTGAAACGACAAGCTGATTTTTTCTTGTTCTGGACTTATATGTTATTGGAAACACACCAGACATGGTTTAAACTCCATCTGGTGTTAAATGTGACAACCTTGTCCAAATTCTAACCTTATATCTGCTCTTAGTATGATATTTGTTGTTCTGGACTTATGCTTCGGAACCTTAGCTTGTTTCATACTCCTTATTACCCTGTTATTTCATTTGCAGGACGGGTAAATTCTACTGCCTTAGCTGTGTGATTATTAGCATATGGCCGGTAGGAGAATTTTGTTTCAGGATAACCAGTATAACTATGTGTAACTTGGGCAGGCATTTTGTTCCGAATCTAACGATTGGTGCTCCTGTCATCGAGAGTTTGAGAAAGCACACAAAGTAAACGCCACAATTTCTTCCCTTGAATTCAATATTTGACATAATGTATGTTCTTAAGTGAAAACTTTATCGTTACCTTTCATCACAGTGCATATCTTGACTGCCACCTAATGGTGACGAACCCGATGGATTACGTGGAACAGATGGGCAAAGCTGGGGCTTCTGGTTTCACATTCCACGTTGAGGTCGCCAAAGGTATAGCTACCTCCCTCTCTCCGCCTCACCATCCTTCAATATGTCTCATCTTAAGATCTTGATTACTTGTATTATCTCTTATCTCAGAGAATTGGCAAGAACTTGTGAGGAAGATTAAGTCTGCTGGGATGAGGCCAGGTGTGGCTCTAAAGCCTGGAACACCTATTGAAGAAGTCTATCCTCTGGTATGATAAATAATCTTCTGCATGTTCCAGAGTACGAATCGATCGTGGTTAACATGCTTGTTTACTTATGTATGACACAGATTGAAGGGACAACTCCGGTTGAAATGGTTCTTGTGATGACAGTGGAGCCTGGATTTGGAGGCCAGAAGTTCATGCCCAACATGATGGACAAGGTTATGTTGTTGGGTTCTTTAACTCTTATTTTAAAAAATTTGTTACTAATGCCATTTTTGCTTATTGAAACCTTTAATGATGTTCTTGGGATAGGTCCGGGCATTAAGGAACAAGTACCCAACACTTGATATTGAGGTACTTAAGGGTCTCTCTCAATCCTAAAGTACACTTAGTGTTTGATATGTCCTTAAAACTGAGTCCTTATATCTCCTGTATCAGGTCGACGGTGGTTTAGGCCCTTCGACGATCGACGCAGCGGCTGCAGCCGGGGCCAATTGTATTGTCGCCGGAAGTTCAGTGTTTGGAGCTCCGGAGCCAGGGGACGTTATATCCCTTTTGAGAGCCAGTGTTGAGAAAGCTCAAGCCACCACTTGAGTTATGCACCCAACAAGGCACTGGTTTTTAAGATAATACTACTCTCTTACGAGCATTAATTGTGATTGTGTTTGTGATGGAAACGAAAACATGAATCTATGAAGAGAATTAGATGAATGAAATAAAGACTTCATAATTTTAAGCATCCAATAATCAAATTAAGACATACTATTTTGAGTAAACCATTTGATAATAGAGATTTTTTTTTTTTTTTATTTGGTTTTCGACTGATCAAAAGAAGGAAAACGTATTAACAAAAAAAAAGGAAAGGAAAAATAATAGATAAAAAATCAAACCTAAATCGCCGTCGACAAGAGAAAAAAGAAAAATCGCCGTCGACTCTTCTCATCATCTTCTTCCTACTGTCGTTGTCGTTGTCGCTGTCGCTGTCGCGTTTTCCGAAACAGATCAGACTCATCTCCCTCCTCCAGGTTTTGGTTCGATACTTTCTTCAGTCTCTGTGTTTTCTTAAAATGGATTTATTGCTCGATATAATTGATCAGCCCTGTTTCTGAACTAAATCTTAACATTTCATATGCCTTTTGTTCATAGATTTACTCATTCTCTTAAAGGTATGCTTTTTGAAGTAGTCCAAGTTAAAAAATTGTGTCTTTTTGTCATTGAAGATTCACCACTGACCCAAAACGGTTCTTACTTATGCCAACAAATGTTTGTTTCGATGAATAGTTCATGTTCTTTCTCAAAATCCAGGTTTTTGTATGAAGCTTTTTGATGTTCTCTGCTCTTAATATTCACATTTCATAACTCTTTTGTTTCATTGATTTGCTCATTTCCCCTCTTAACGGGCTGCTCTTTGCTTCTTCAGATCTTGGTCCCAAAAAATGTCTCTGCGGAAGCCTCAAATCCCTCGTCTTCTTCTTCAAAACGTCTCTTGTATGAGAAACGCACAGCAGATTCTAAGACACGTGAACGTTTCTCTCCACGACGGTGGTGCCCTCGTCTTAACCGGAACCAACGGATCAGGTAAATCAACGTTCTTGAGAATGCTAGCCGGATTCTCAAAACCCTCTGCAGGTGAAATCCTTTGGAACGGTCACGACATTACACAATCAGGGATCTTCCAACAATACAAACTCCAGCTCAACTGGATCTCTTTGAAAGACGCCATCAAAGAGAGGTTCACGGTTCTTGACAATGTCCAATGGTTTGAGCTCCTAGAGAACAAGATTGGTAAAGCTCAACCAGCTTTGGAGCTAATGGGTTTAGGGAGATTGGTGAAGGAGAAATCGAGAATGTTGTCGATGGGTCAGAGGAAAAGGTTGCAACTTGCGAGGCTGCTCGCTATCGATAGACCCATTTGGCTTTTGGACGAACCATCTGTTGCTTTGGATGATGAAGGAGTTAGGTTGCTTGAGTTTATAATTGCAGAGCATAGGAAAAAAGGAGGGATTGTCATCGTTGCGACTCATCTTCCTATTGAGATTGAAGATGCTATGATCTTGAGGCTTCCTCCTAGATTTCCTAGGAAAATGACTTTGATTGATATGCTTGATCGTGCAGACATTTCTTAGTAGAATCAAAGAGAGTTTGTATCTGAGATTGTTTTATTTTGTAACTTGTGTAATGGAATGTTTATTGAATGAAAGTTTTGTTCTTTTCCGTAGAAAATGTAAATCTACACAATTCATAAATATTCTAAAAATGAACAAACTCAAATTACCGTTGGTGATAGTTAAGACAACCAATAAATCTAGAGAATCTATAAATCTCTGTTCTGAAAAAGTAATATGCATTCTAATTTAATAATCGCTGCAGATTTAGAAATTCGAAACAAAACTTTCTGAAAAGAAGGAAACACCAAATCGCAGTCGATCTTAGGAATTGGCACGAGTCAAACGTATACGTTTGGGACATTGACCTCACTTCTCTCTCTCTATCTCTTATTTGTTCTTTATTCCTATGTCGTGGCGTGTCTGTTCTTAAACCCCATCATCGATAACTGAAACTAAGCATGAGCTGTTTTTATCATATTGACGAAAATACCCTCCATTCATTTTCGTTCTTCTTCTTTTCGATTATAGACCCACGAGAAGTTTAAATTCTCACTGACCCATTTGTTTTCTTGCAATCTTTCGCAGCTGAACCAAAAAGTTTGCATCTTTCTTTAATTCATTTTTTGTTTTCTCTCTTTCTTTGGAAGGTTTTCTAAAATCAAGAAGTTTGAAAAAATGGGTATGGGCACAAGCACTTTCGTTATCAGATGGGTCAATCTTCTTACAATGGTGAGCTTGAATCTTCTTCTTCTTCTTCTTCTTTTCCTTCTTCTTCACTTAGTTTCTATTTCTCACAGCCGCGCTTGATCCTCCTTTGATTCTCTTCAATTGATTTGCTTTGTGGAACTAGATTCTTGGTTTCCGTACAACTTAGGTTATGGTTCTTTCTAACGAAGATTCTTAGTGAAATTCAACTGCTTGAGTTGTAAGAATAATAATGTGAAAGTTTCTACCTTTTAATGTTTGTTTGTTTCTGCAACTTTATAGTAATGTCTTGTCTATTACAATTCTGTGGTGAAGCTATTGGCTGTGGCAGTGATTATATTTGGTGTGTGGATGAGTACACACAATGATGGATGCAGAAGGTCACTTACATTTCCAGTCTTAGCACTTGGTGGTTTCATTTTCTTGATGTGAGTTTACACTACATAACAATGGTTCTAAACTATGTCTTCTATTTCTTGCTTATTGTTCATGAAATGTTCTCTGATATTTCGTGTGTTTTGTCAGATCCATAATCGGGTTTCTTGGTGCGTGCAAGAGAAGTGTGGCGCTTCTTTGGATTGTATCCTTCACTCACCATGTTCTGTTTTGCTGTTTATTTTGTTTTTGGATCTTCCTTAACAATCATGATTCTCCTTTGAAGTATCTTGCCGTGCTCCTGATTGTTTTGATTGCGATTCTTGTTTTTACCGTGTTAGCGTAAGTCTCATTGTCCTAAAGGTTATTCAAGAGATCTTAGCTTTTGAATCGTTGAAGAATTCTCATTTCTTGTTCTCTTTTCTTTTGGGCTTTTACAGGTTCATTATAACAAACAACGGGTCTGGACATAGTAACCCTGGTTTAAGGTAAGTGTAAACTATTCCTCCATGGTCACATACATATTCCAATGTAGAAATCTTGAAACTTTCTGCCTCAAAATTAGGTACAAGGAGTATAAGCTGAATGATTACAGCTCATGGTTTCTAAAAGAGGTATCATAATTCATATTGCACGAAAGTATTATTCAAACAAGAATGCTTTCTTCCAAATTTCGTCTAACTCTCGTCGATGTTTCAGCTTAACAACACCAATAACTGGAAAAGACTAAAGAGTTGTCTTGTTAAATCTGAGCAATGTAGGAAGCTTTCCAAGAAATACAAGGTGCCTTATATTACCCAATATACAGCCCTGATCAAAATCTTTAAAATGTTGTTGATTTTCTTTTTGTTATTTCAGACCATTAAACAGTTGAAATCCGCAGAATTAACCCCAATAGAAGCTGGATGCTGTCGACCACCATCTGAGTATATATAATGTCTCTTCTTGTTATTTGTTGATGCTTTCTATTTCTGTTGAATTTACTGTCTTTTTTCTTTCTTGCATAGGTGTGGTTATCCTGCGGTGAATGCTTCTTACTATGACTTGAGCTTTCATTCGATAAGTTCTAACAAAGATTGTAAGCTTTACAAGAATTTGAGGACCATCAAGTGCTACAATTGTGATTCTTGCAAGTAGAGCTAAATCAACTTCCCTACTTCTTTACAATTATGTCATTCATTTGAATTTGAAACTAATTATTCTGTTCTTTTGATTATTAAACTCAGAGCTGGAGTAGCTCAGTACATGAAAACCGAGTGGAGACTGGTTGCGATATTCAATGTGGTTCTGTTCGTTGTCTTGGTAAGAAAGTTATTAACACACAAGATTTGTAAAGTTTTGTCCGTTTTAAGTGTTTTATGCACCACAACAATCCTAAAACATTTTTGTTTCCGACTATTGCGGTTCTTGAATTGTTGGAATCTTTGAGATGTAGTTTCTTGTGAGAACTGATTTGTTTCTTTGTTGAATCACAAACAGTCAATGGTTTACTTTGTCGGGTGCTGCGCGAGAAGGAATGCTGCTAGTAACCAATCCAAAGCTTAGAAAGTGAAGCCCTTTGAAAAAAAAAAACTCATACACTGGATTCTCTGAAATTGCAGAAGAACCTCACTCTATGTTGGTGATTGCTTTCAAGAGAATGGTTAAAGAGGAACAAAAGCAACCACTTCTCTTCATTCTTTTTACTCATGTAATCAACGAATTGAAACACAAGGAGTTAAAACAGAGGAAAAAAATTGATGGGATTTCTACAAAAGTTTAGTTTTTATTCTTCATTAATAGACACATCATGACAGTGAAGTTAAAAAACTACTAAAGAAATGATATTTGCTATCAAAATCTGGCCTTTTATCTTCAAAAATGGGATTTGATAGGCTAATGGACAAATGTACAACCAAAATTGGATTTTACCGGTTCAATTGCATAAATCGACCATAATCAACTCGGAATTGACATCGAAATATAGTATTTTTTTTTTCCAGCATATGGTATTTATCGGTTCGAAACTTGAAATGAGACTTCGAGAAATGACAGAATAGCAAAATTGTTATGAATATTAATATAAATGACTATTATAAGATATATGACAAATATTGTATTTGTCTCACATCAAAAACTTACGGTGATAACTAGGTCTTTGTAATCCTATATATACTATTTATTATTTCTGAAATAAGACACACCAATTTTTTCTCTCTTTTGATAACTTATTCACGTTATAATAAGAAGTATATATAGTATTACAAAGACCTAGTTATCACCATAAGTTTCCGATATGAAACAAATACAATATTTGTTATGGGCCTTATAATGGTCATCAAAGGGAATATAATGAATATTAATATAGATGCCATTATAAAGCCCATAACAAATATTGTATTTGTCCCATCGGAAACTTGTGATGATAATTAGGTCTTTGTAATACTATATACAATAGAAATTTTATAAATTAATATTCGAAAAATTAATAAATTTGATTAATTAATAAATTTTGTTGGTCCTAAATTTAAATTTTAACCCAATTAATCACTTTATAAATTAATAACTCTATAAATTAATAAAAATTAGGAGTCCCAACGTTATTACTTTATAGAGTTTTTACTGTATATCTCTCATTATCTTTGGAATAAGACATCAATTTCTTTTTTATTTTAATAACCTATTTACAACAAAAATTGAGTTTTTTCCAATGTTCTTAAACCCGACCACCGAAATGCATTCCAAGTCAGCAGATTAAATAAATGAATAGTAATATATATATATATTGAAAATGTAGTTAAAAAATTAATAAAATGATAATTATTAGCACAACTTCATAAAATAATTGGCGACAAATTAACAGCAAAAATAAAAATAAAAACAAAAAAATTAATACTGTAATAGGAATGTAGATGTCTAATATGAATAACGATAATCATAAAGTTAATTCAAAGTTAATCAAAAGAAAATTTTAACTAATGACGAAAGTGAAGTAAGAAACGAATCATCTCAACCAATCTTTGATTATCTTTATCATCATTTTTTCCGATTTCTTTTAACGATATAGTGAAATCTTCATCAATTTTTTTTTTTTTAAATTACATAATTTAGTCAATATTATATATCTAAAAAAACAAGAATGTTAATCAGTATGTCAAAAAATAATATTATATAAAGATCTTTTAAAATCAAACTTTTTAAATTTGTTCATCGAGTTTATCGGGTTTTTGCCAGTTTTTAGCAAATTTTTATGCAGCGGATATTCACATTAAATCCGAACTAGATTCTCAATGAATCACCGGATATACTGGTCCGACCGCAGATCAGGGTCAGGTTTAAAAACATTGGTTTTTTCTTTTGTGGACTTACCGGTTCAAGTTTTGTTTTCCGACAATTTACCGGTTCAATTACATACCGAAATATATATTTTAAACAGAACCGGATATATTGTCAATGAAGGGCTCTCGATTAGAGCATGATTAACGCTGTATTTAGGTGGAATTTAGCAGAAACTTAATATTTTTTAATGATGGGTCGTTTCTAATTTGGCAGAGACGTCTTCTAATTGGGGACGTTTTTACGCGTTTCTGTGGACACGTGTCATGAGTGCATTCGTTTTCAAACTTGGAGAGAAAATTTTTTTTTTGCAAAAGGTTTTCATTTTGCCCGAGTTTCGAAAGTTTTCATTTCCTCTCGACCCTTTTCTCTCATTTCTCCGACGAACTCGAGGCCAAATCGATTTGTCTCCGGCAGCTTCTCCGACGGGTCGCGGTTCTCAGACGGGGGCATCACGGTTCGAAACTTGTCTGCGAAAGTGAAGGCGAAAGAGACAAATCGCTGAAAAATTCAACCGATAAAGAGAGGAGATTAGGGTTTCTTGTATGCAGAAAAATCCGGATCACATTTCCAAATGGTGGGATGATGCCATTGAGGAGCAGCTGACGATTCTTCAGCGCAACATCGACCAGCAGAGTTCAAGGATGAGTTCCATGATGGAAAGTTCCAACAGAACAGCCCTCTTGCAGTCATATGAGGATCGTCTCTATGCCTTGGAAGACCGCATTACCGGAATGAATAACACCATCACTGAGATCGAGGAGTTCATAGGCTACATTCAAAGTGAAGTGGCTGGAGTGAAAGATTCACTGGCTAATCGAGGTTCTGATCTGCTTCTAATCCTGTTTTTAATAATTTTTACTGTCATCTCTTGTGTCGTTATGCGATGGGATGTAGAATAGGCGGATGTAGAATAGGCTGATGTAACATTAAGGGTTTAGAGTTTAGGGCCATCTATTTGTTCTTTTCATGAATGTTGTTGTAATGACTTCTTTATTTCATCCCATCTATTGCTATCTTCTGTTCACTTCATATACATCGTTTATTTGTTTCTAGTAGAGGTGTCCTTTCTGTTTTAGGTTATTAATCTGATATCAGTGAGTATATGAAGGCTTATCAAGCATTTGTTCGGTGGCCTAAACCAGATAAGTAACTATTCCTTTGCATATTTAAGTTTACTTATTTTTTGTTCAGTTTGGTCATCTCTAACATGTGTTTAAATGCAGCGTAGGGTCAAAATCAAACTGGAAGTTTACACAATCAAATGGTTAGAGCTTAACGAATCGGTGCTGCAACAAGATGGAATCCTGCTTCATCATAATGAAACCGTAAGTTTACGTTTTTTCTCTTCTCGTTGTAATTACTGCTGTTAAGTGATTTGCGTAGATGTTAGGTATGAATAAATGCAGAATTAGGTTTACGTCTTGTCGCTCTTTAAGTTTGTTGGGTTTGAGGATTAGATATGACGTGTGTAGATGTTAAGTGTATTCATTTTTCTCATTAAAGCAAACGGTACAAAATCTAGTAAACCCTATAGCTGTTAAAGTAATTGTAGCTTCTTAAATTCGTCATTACTGCGTTTAACCAAATCTCCCATTCCTCATTACTCTTCCAAACCAAATACATCATCTCTCTTCCATTCCTCATTACTCTTCAAACCCAAATACATCATCTCTCATCCAGTTCTTTTTATTCATCTGTATTATTCTCCTCATTCCTTTCATCGCTTTCCTTGAGCTCTTTCATTGTTCTCTCCTCTTGTTCATATGGATCATTTCTCGCAGCCCTCTAACTTTGTTGACTTGTTGACAAGTCAACACGAACCATCACTGAATGATGGTTTTCACTCTATCGACCAAGAACCCTTATTCAGCACTCAGTGTTCGTTAGCAACTAACGTTGGTGATACAACTGGTCACCAAGTGGATAGGAGGACTTGGGCGCCCAATGAGGATGTGCTTCTTATAAGCGCTTGGCTTAACACAAGCAAAGACCCTATTGTCAGTAACGAGCAGAAGTCCGGAACATTTTGGAAGAGGATAGCCATTTACTACGCAGACAATATGAACCCATCGATGAGTGCACCGCGCGAAGCCGGCCAATGCAAGCAAAGGTGGCACAAGATCAATGATCTTGTGTGAAAGTTCTGTGGGGCGTTTGAGGCAGCAACGAGGGAAAAGAGCAGTGGAATGAATGACAACGACATCTTAAAAATGGCTCACCAGATCTACTTCAGTGATCAGAAGAAGAAATTCAACTTGGAACACGCATGAAAACAGTTGTGAAATGACCAAAAGTGGGCTGAACAGTCAAGGTAGCAAGAGGCCACCTGGTGTGAAGGCGGCGAAAGCAAAAGGAAAGAGGCCAACGAGTGAAGCAAAGTCTGCGGTTGAGTTTGGGGGTATGTGGGTTTTTAGGGAAAAGGAGATGGCCCTCAAAGAGAGGCTCTCGAAGATTGCTCTTATAGACAGTCTTATTGCCAGGAAGGATACATTGGCCGAATACGAGGAAGACCTGAAGAAGACGCTTATCCAACAGCTATTCTAGACAATTTGTGGTGTTTGTTGTTTTAGGAGATATGTCTTTTCATTAACTAGTTTCTATAAGTAGTTTCCATATGTTCTTTTGTGTACCATTACTTTGTGTACCATTATCTAGTTTCTACTCTTGGCCTCTATATTGGAAGAGGTTAATGACTTTGTGTTCATCTTTTCAATATGTTTTATGTTCCTGTTCTTTTAACTTTGTTAACGTCAATGTGTTTTCATTATTATTGAGATTATGTTTGGGTTTTTGTTCCTTTTGGCACTCTGTGTCACAGGTTGTGGTGGAGCAGAAATTTGACTCAGGATGAGTAGGACTCCACAAATAAAGAAGATGAGGGGGAATCTTTTGTCAGTCCTATGTATGTCGTTTACCATTACTTTAGTTATACACCACATATGTTGTGTTCAATGTTAAATTCAAAATAATGTTCAAAATATCTTACATGTATGTTGTAATCGTTGTCTATATATATTGACAGATACCATTTTCTCTCTTGCGTACTCTCTATATTTTTTCCCAGCGGTTTACATCTCCTTCTCTACCTCTTTCTCACAATCACAACAAAAAAAAAAACACAAATGGCTTCTCCTTCAAATAACCAAAATGATGGTACAAATCGTGATTATTTTGAGCAATATTTTGAGCAATACTATGAGCAAGCGTATGAGCAATACTATGAGCAAGCGTATGAAAGTGTGTTTACACAATATGGCGAGCACCAGGAACCAAAGAA